TGCTAATAACTTTGTGCCTTTTTGCTAAACATAAAAGGCCTGGACCTGTCTGGAGAAATAACAATCACATAAAAAAGAAGATTCATTATGACAAACCATTAAAGTGGCAGTGTGTAATTTCCTGGAACTAGGGGGCAGTACATACATTTCAGGGTAGTTTTACACCATACCTGTCGTTAGTGAAAAAAACATTACGGTAAATGTTACCTGTGGAGCAGAAAGCAGGCAACCTTGGCATGAATCCTCAGACTTTGATGGTCCTTCAGTTAATTCCATCTAGAGAAATCAATGCTGATTGTAGTTTCCAGATCTGCTAGGGGTCCTGCGCCTGCTGATGATGTCATCATACTATGGCAATGCCGCTCGGCCAAAATACATTGCATCTTTTTTTCCCAATTCTGTTCTTTCACATGTTTTGGAAAGAGTTTAGCGGTTAGGTTATAACATTCTTGTTTCTTACTACCGAAATGTTATTGAACGGGGCAACGTAACTTCCATTTGTCGTACATCCAGCCAGTCATCTAGTGTGATGTCATCACGCGTCGCCTAGAGACTTAGGTTTATGCTTGACGCGTCCGCGAGGTCCACACGGCTCCGCGCGGAAAAGTTGCGTCATTTTGCATCATTTTAACAGCCACGCCCCTCCACCGCGTCTCCGCACGGCCCAAGATTTCCGCAACGCGCACCTCGGAAAATTTCTAACCACGCGGACGGACGGACGCGGAAAAACATGGCGGACCGGCAAGAACTAGTATGACAGAGGTTCGTAAATACCGACATTTGTATGATTCAGCTCTCAGAGATCACCGTGATCAACATGTTGTTAATAATTCTTGGAGAGAAATAGCGCGTTCCATCCGCGAGCCGCATCACCGCGCGGAAAGTAAATGCGTCAAGCATAAACCAAGCTTTACCCCCAAATTCCACTACCTCCGCTCCGCTCCGGTCCGCCCCCGCCTTCCGCAGCCGCTCGCTTCCAAACTCAATTTTTACTGGTACCCGCTCTACAACGGCTCCGCTCCGGTGCGGAGACCTGAGGTGGGCAAACAAGCATGCGCGGGATTTTCGAGATCTTGCGATACAGTCCGAGCAATAAACGCGGAAGTTAGATCCAAACACCCGTTGTGTGGGAGAAGCATCAGCTGTTTAATCTGCCCATCATTTGTGTTGAGAGATCAGCAGTGTTTGGATCAACAAAGTGTGACTACTTTCATAGTAGAAACTGTATTTATGGCTTACTTTTGTGCATTTAAACTTCAGCCGCCATTGATAGTTGTTAAAAGTTGTTAAACCTGTGCATATGAAACAAAAAACGCCTTTTGTTTATCGATTTATTGTGAAAACGGAAGTTGTACTTGTTCCTTTTCCTGTTGGGCGGTTGTGATTTCTGTCCATTTACTGCGGAGGCGCTCCGGCGTCCGGCGAAAATAGGATCGATTCTATTTTTGCCGGACGCCAGAACAGAGGGCGGCGCACGGCGCCGCATTGCCGGAGCACGGCCGCAGTAGTGGAATTGCTCTGATTGACTACAACGGGACCGATTTTGCTCCGGCGTTCGTGTCGGAGCGGAGCGGAGGTAGTGGAATTTGGGGGTTAGGGTTTTCACTAACGACAGATATGGTGTAAAACTACCCTGAAATGTATGTACTGCCCCCTAGTGTCAGGAAACAACACACTGACTTAGGGTGTTTCACAATGTCAAGGCGCCTGGCCTTGCGAGGCCACTGTCCTTCCTTGGTCAAAGAAAACGGTTAAATGGAACAGTTACGTGACTGCCATGGAAGCCGCGGTCACATAACGTCACGTGACATGGGAGATGACGTTATATTTTATACGTATTAGTTTCAATATAAATACATAATGAGCCTTTTACTTTTTAAAATTGTGTACATATTTATTAAATTAAATATATGAGTTACTACCCGCTAGCCACCGAAGCTGAAACTACTAAGCAACTAACCAACAATAGATAACTTCTTTGGATCTAAAAAAACATTTTAAATTAGCTGACTTACTTTTAAACTTGAAAATTGCCCCTAAAGTAGCTGCCGGCTTCTGATCCGCCATCTTTTTGAAAATGCTGCGGTGTATTCTGGGTAATTTTTGACCAAGACTAGGCAACAAGATACCTCCCGTGTATCCTTGCTCAGCTAGCTAAACGGCTAACAAACGGAGAACACAAGCCTCGGTAGAACATGACCATTGGAACACGTCTTGGCGGCTCCAGATGATGTATCTCCTAGGCAACCGCGGCGGGGCCAAGACATCAAGGCAAGGTTCCTTGGCATTGAGAAACACCCTTAGACCCACTCCCATGTACTTAAGACCAGATTTTTATGGTTATACTTTACGAAGCCGCCAACATTTAACAGCTGGACATCATTTTATTCATTTTCAACCACGTTATGATAGATATTTCCAGAGATTAAAGGTAAAAACTACACATTGTCTCTTTAAAGTGAAGCACAGATGCAAATGTGGAGCCCAAACTTCAGGTCTGTTTAAATTAAAGTCAGCAGCTCAGATTCAGCAGGTAGGTCCAGTAAATTCAGTCTGATGCAGAAGAAAGCAGCAGGGAGAGAGCAGCTGTTGGGTTCACAGTGCTTCGGACATGCGGACATCCATCCATCCATCCATCCATCCATCCATCCATCCATCCATCCGCTTATCCGGAGTCGGGTCGTGGGGGCAGCAGCCTAAGGCGAGAGGCCCAGACTTCCCTCTCCCCAGCCACTTGGGCCAGCTCCTCCGGGGGAATCCCAAGGTGTTCCCTGGCCAGGTGAGAGACATAGTCTCTCCAGCGTGTCCTGGGTCTACCTTAAGGTCTCCTCCCAGTTAAGCCTGGTTTATGCTTCTCCGTCAGCTCCGCAAGGGACAGACACGCACGGATTGACGGAAGCGTTTTGCTCTTTTACTTCTCCGTCTCCTGGAGAGTGTTGCAAAGCAATTCCCCGGCAGGACCACAGAGGGCGTAGCGCTGTTCTGTGGTATCCTGTCATGTATCTGTCCAAGATCGTGTGTTTATATTGTGTTTTTTGTGTATAAGAGACTTTTAACACGGACATATTTGTCTCTCATTCTCCCACCGCTTCATGCGCTCCCCACCTCTAAACCCACGTTTCCTGTCATTTCCATCCACAAATAAAACGCTTGCTGCACATCTTTTCACTCCTCCAGTCACGGGAGAATTAAACGTTCATATTTTTAGAGTTTTTTCGCGAGGTATTCTTCAAGCTTCTCCGTGTCTGCCGCTAGTTATCCTCGGCTCTCTTTGCAATGGCGGCGCTGTAAACAACAGCGGCGTCCTGACCAATCACAAGCTTGCGTAATCCGTCTCGTTCGACGGATGTTTAAAAAAGTGGGCTCGACTCCGTACGTACTTGCGTGCCTGCCGGAGCCCTACGCAGGGACGGATAATGGCGTTGCGTGTCTCCGCACTGACGCAGACGGAGAAGCATAAATCAGGCTTTAGACGTGCCCGGAAAACCTCACCAGGGAGGCATCCAGGAGGCATCCTGACCAGATGCCCGAGCCACTGCAACTGGCTCCTCTCGATGTGGAGGAGCAGCGGGTCTACTGCGAGCCCCTCCCAAATGGCTGAGCTTCTCACCCTATCTCTAAGGGAGAGCCCAGACACTCTTCGGAGAAAACTCATTTCGGCCGCTTGTATCCGCGACCTCGTTCTATCGGTCATTACCAAAGCTCATGACCATAGGTGAAGGTAGGAGCGTAGATCAACCGGTAAATCGAGAGCTTCGCCTTCTGACTCAGCTCTCTCTTCACCACGACAGACAGGTACAACGCCCGCATCACTGCAGATGCAGCACCAATCCACCTATCGATCTCGCGCTTCAGCTTTCCCTCACTCGTGAACAAGACCCCGAGATACTTAAACTCCTCCACTTGGGGCAGGACCTCATCCCTGACCCGGAGAAGGCATTCTACCCTTTTCTGAATCAAGACCATGGTCTCAGATTTAGAGGAGCTGATTCTCATCCCAGCTGCTTCACACTCGGCTGTGAACCGCTCCAGCGAAAGCTGAAGATCACGTTCTGATGAAGCCAACAGGACCACATCATCTGCAAAAAGCAGAGACCTGATCCTCAGGCCACCAAAACGGATGCCCTCCACACCTTGGCTGCACCTTGAAATCCTGTCCATAAAGGTCATGAACAGAATCGGTGACAAAGGGCAGCCTTGGCGGAGTCCAGCTCTCACTGGGAACGAGCCCGACTTACTGCCGGCAATGCGGACCAAGCTCTGACACCGGTCATACAGGGACCTAACAGCCCGTATCAGAGGGCCTGGTACCCAATACTCCCAGTGTACCCCCCACAGGGCCCCCTAAGGTGTAGACAGTGTTGGTAGCACACTGCTTCCCCCCCCCCCCTGAGCCGCCGGATGGTGGACCAGAATCTCCTCGAAGCCGTACGGAAGTCTTGCTCCATGGTCTCACCGAACTCCTCCCATGCCCGGGGTTTTGCCTTGGCGACCACCCAAGCCGCATTCCGCTTGGACTGCCGGTACCCGTCAGCTGCCTCTGGAGTCCCACAGGCCAAAAAGACCTGATAGGACTCTTTCTTCAGCTTGACAGCATCCCTAACCGCCGGTGTCCACCAGTGGGTTCGGAGGTTGCCACCACGACAGGCACCGACGATCCTGCGACCACAGCTCTGGTCAGCCGCCTCAACAATGGAGGCACGGAACAAGGTCCATTCAGACTCAATGTCCCCCGCCTCCCCTGGAACATTTAGGAAGTTCTGTCGGAGGTGGGAGTTGAAGCTCCTTCCAACAGGAGACCCTGCCAGACGTTTCCAGCAGACCCTCGTGATACGTTTGGGCCTGCCTGGTCTGACCGACATCCTCCCCACCATCTGAGCCAACTCACCACCAAGTAGTGGTCAGTTGACAGCTCCATCCCCTCTTCACCCGAGTGTCCAAGACATGCGGCCACAGGACAGTCCATCAAAATTACAATGATTTAAAAGAATCCAGAAAAATTAAATCTACTTGTTTTATTTGATTGCATCAAAGAGGAAGTTAAACATTAATACAGGTTGTCAGACTGCAGTCATCCGTTCTGCATTATAACTAAAAAGTGCTGAGAGACAAACAGACAACCAGAGGCAAAGTGGGAATCTAACCCTAGAACTCGGCCTTCCCGGGGGCAGACCTTCACCCGACCGTGAATCCACCGAGGATCAGCTCAGGAGGCAGAAAGAAAAGCCACTGAATGGCTGAAAAGGTCAAAAGGTCAAATAGGAATCCAAAAGTAACGAGTGCCTGAAAAGAAAAGCCACAAACGTCTCATATCTGATAGTTTTAGTGCATGAAAGTGGTTTTAGATTGTAGAGAAGTTGGTGTGTAAAACATAAAAGGAAAAAATAACGTTGGTTATTGATGTTGTGTTCAAAGAAACAGGCATGTTGGATTATAGTCAACAAAATCGCTGATATAATCTCTACAAGACTGAGTTGGGACCTAATCTACGGCAGCAGACCAGTCCCAATCGATAAACACCAAACTTCCTGGTAAAAGTCAGAACGCAGCACTGGAGCTGAAGTTAAAGCCAACCCTACTCGCATAAGAGACTCCTTTAGCCATAGTGGATGGTTTTCAAGGCGAGTTTGCTGTTGATTAGCTAGGCAACCACCTGGTTTAAGAACAATCCATGGACCATGTGTGCATGTTAAACTTATCAGTTATTAAATGATCAGCTAGTTTAGCAAATGAAGGCACTGAAAACGTGTTTGATGAAAACATGGCTGAGCTGTGCCGTGAGATCCATGAGGTGTTCCTGCAGCATCACAGCTTCAATCAACAACATGAAGAGCATCTTCATGAGGCAACACGCTGGTGGGCCCTCCCCCTTCAAAGTCTCCTTTGGTGCTGGACACTATCTGTCCTGGTTGTCTGACCTGAGGCCGCCATCCGAGGCGTCGTCTGACGAGGTGTCGAGGACGGGATTGACAAATCCTTCGAACTCGGCGTCTGCAGCGTCCTCTGGGTGAGTACTCACAAAATCGTTCTCCCACTCCAGAGCAGCGGAGTCCTCCGAGGCCGAGGTCGGCCCGCTGTTCATCTGTTTGCTGCCGGGCCTCAAAGCCGCACGCAGGATATCCTCCTCGGTCCGAGACCTCTCCCAGGCAGGAAGTGCACGATTGATTCCTGTGATTCAGGAACAGAAACCTTCACTGAACAACATCGTTACCAAAGCACCCAGACGGACAAGCTGCAGCAGTCTCGAAAAGCTGATAGTGGTTAATGTAAACATCATGACAGTTTCACATTTTCTGTTATTTACAAAGACTTCTGTAGATATACTAATAGTTACAGACTAGTCCAAATAGAGCGGGGTGGGCAATCCTGGTCCTCAAGGGCCACTATCCAGCAGGTTTTAGTTGTTTCTCTGCTCAAACACCCCTGGTTTGAATCTGCTGGTGATTAACAGGCTGCTGCAGAGCCTGATGAGCTGCTGAACAGGTGACTCATCTACGAATCAGCTGTGTTGGAGCAGGTAAACAACTAAAACCTGCAGGATAGTGGCCCTCGGGGATTGCCCATCCCTGAACTTAACGCCCGGATCACATCAGACGCGGAAGCGCGACGATGCGCTGTGGAACGATGAGCATTTCTATTTGCAGGGTATCTGCAGGCTTAAGGGAGCCAAATTTAAGACTTTTAAGACCTTTTTTAAGGCCACTTTGACCAAATTTAAGCTTTTTTTTTTCAATTAAATTTAATAATTTAATTATAATTTCCAGCTATTGCCTGGAACAGGTGCTAACCACGCAGTGATCGTGGGATTAGCCATCTAGATGCCATTAAACTTGCACTTCCCCATGGCGCAAGCTCCCACTAGCTTAACCAGCTAATGTGCTCATCTAAAAATAGCCCCTTTTCACAACCAACTGAATGTGTACGGTTCCACTTATGCAAATGTCATACACAAAAAATGCTGAACACTAACTAGAAATTCACAAAAAAAAAAAAAAAAGAAATAAAAGAGTCTTATTAATTGGGTCTTTGGTAATTTAAGACCTTTGGAAACTGTATTTAAGGATTATTTATCATTTTTAAGGATTTTTAAGGCCTTAAATTTGGAAAAGCAAATTTAAGACTTTTTAAGACTTTTTAAGGACCCGCGGATACCCTGTATTTGGCACCCCTTAACCGACGGTTAATGGCAGACAGCCAGTCCTCGCGCTTTCACAGCCGGAGCGGCCGATCTCAGCTGCAGTCGGACGAGGTGCTTACCCAACTGCAACAGATTTATAATGAATCACCCAAGCAGGAATCCCCCACTGGTTAATTCAACTCGCGCCAACCAGAGTCTCCTGCTAGTAGGTAGGCGTGATAGCGACATAACATAGGCGATTGTTGCCAAAGGTAACGGTCAACAGGATAACCCAGACCACGTTTCAGATGCCACGTTCAAATAAAGACCAAGGTTTTAAAGAGTATGTGACCACCTGCATTCATTATGAAGGTGAGTTCAACGTTTGACTAGGCTTGCTAAGTGATGATAAATGCTAGCTTTTTACTAGCCAAAGTTAGCAAAGCGTCGAAGCAACGCTACAATCGTAACAGAGCGATAGGTTAATGAGTTTTTCTTTATTTCTTAAATGATAATTCTGCTCTAGCGTTGCTTTCTCGCTGTGCTAGAAAAGAGCTAGCATGTACCACTTAGCAACCCAAGGCAGAAACTTGTTCACTCACCTACATAGTTATGAATGTAGGCAGACACATTTAATTTAAAATCTTTGCCCTATTTTGATTGTTGTCTCTTAGATGTTGCCTAGATGATCCTGTGTACATGGTGATCATCATCCTTGGCATGTCCTGCAGCGATAACATGGAGAACACCAACATTACTGTGACCCAGAAATGATTCATCTGGCTAAAAAATCAGGAAGTGTCATACTGGGGGTCTGTGGAACATAGACTATTACCCCATCTGGCCCAGACCGAGCTGACCGTAGTGTAAATGGGCGAAAAGGTCACTGCGTGGCTGTCACCAGCTGCTCATCAATCTGTTAACAACTGATCTCCAGCTGCCCTTCAGCCAGGTCCCAGGAGGATAACGACTCTCAGTAGGACTCAGGGTGGTGGATGTGGAGTACTACAGATGAAATGTGTGACCCCTTCATTCCACTGCACACGAAATCAGCCACGAAACTTACTGCAGTCGTCATTCGATTGGACGAGTTCCTTTCCACCTGCAGAAAAGTAACTTTTTGGACGCGCACCAGAAGCAAAGGTTTGCTACAGTATCATTCTCTTTTTACACGCTACACTTCCAAAGTACGTCAAACTCTGCGGTTTTTATTGCACCAGACAGGAAGTCGAACACAAAAGCGGTGTAACACACATGCAGAAACCTAGAATTCCTTTTTTGTGCTGCTTCTTTACACACGCAGTAAGAGGAGCTTGTTTTAACCTTAGCTAACATGTTTCGACGTCTACTGCTGCCTTCGTCAAGTTATCGCCGATGTTGGTGGAGTCACTTCCATTTACCTGCGGGCAGCAGAGGACGATGTCGCCCTCTACTGCCTACATCCCCTCCGTTGATGACCGTGTCCCATGAGTGGTCCAACATGTAAACTCATTCGGCCCCGTTTATGGTCCTGGATCCACGTCTCCTTATTTCTATCGCTTCCATGACCCGTCTTTTGAATTTCTGTTGTTCTGTGTTTATGATCCGTGTACTGTACCAGTATATGATGGAACCGCAGACTTTTTTTTAGATACATGCAGATGTCTTTCTCCATCCATCCATTCTCGGCCACTTATCCAGGGTCGGGCCGTGACCAGACTTCCCTCTCCCCAGCCACTTGGGCCAGCTCCTCTGGGGGAATCCCAAGGCGTTCCCTGGCCAGGTGAGAGACATAGTCCCTCCAGCGTGTCCTGGGTCTACCTTTAAGCCTTATCCTGGTTGGACGTGCCCGTTAAACCTCACCAGGGAGGCGTCCAGGAGGCATCCTGACCAGATGTCCACGCCACCTCAACTGGCTCCTCTCCATGTTGAGGAGCAGCTGATCTACTCCAAGCCCCTCCTCGATGACCAAGCTTTTCATCCTATCTCTAAGGAAGAGCTCAGCGACCCTGCAGAGAAAACTGATTTTGGCTGCTTGTATCTGTGATCTGGTCATTTCGGTCACTACCCAAAGCTCATGACCATAGGTGAGGGTAGGAACGTAGACTGAGTGGTAAATCGAGAGCTTGGCCTTCTGACTCAGCTCTCTCTTCACCACGACAGACCGGTACAACGCCCGCATCACTGCAGATGCAGCACCGATCCACCCGTCGATCTCACGCTCCAGCTTTCCCTCACTCGTGAACAAGACCCCGAGATACTTAAACTCCTCCACTTGGGGCAGGAACTCATCCCTGACCCGGAGAAGGCATTCTACCCTTTTCCGAATCACGACCATGGTCTCAGATTTAGAGGAGCTGATTCTCATCCCAGCTGCTTCACGATCTGCTGCAAACCGCTCCAGCGAGAGCCGGTGATCACGTTCTGATGAAGCCAACAGGACCACATCATCTGCAAAAAGCAGAGACTGCTTCTTTCCCCTTGCTCATTATTGTGTGCGGACTACTTAAATCACGCGTGGTGTTGCAATCAACAATTATGGCATCAGCTGTGTGGAATGCTTTCGCTCCCGTTTTGAGTCAGAATAACTCCGAGTTGGGAATCACCGCCGCTATTACATTTGGTGCCGCTTTCACGCCCAGTGGGAAGAAGGGGTGACAGGACATTTTCCTCACATCATACTCAAAACGCAATTTGGTCCCAAAACATGATCGTTCCGCCCTATTTTCTACTAGAGCAAACTGTTCATCATCATCATCATCACATCCTGCAGCAGCACATCACTGTTGGTGCTTTTACTACCTGAAGTCACTTAGCAGACAGCTGTGGCATGAACATCTGCACCGGGCAGCTACACCTAGAGTGTCTCCTAGCCTGAGCTGCAGCGTACTCCTCTGGACCTAACGCAGGAAAACGTTGAACCTCTAACCTTCCTCGTCCTCCCACTCCAAATCCAGTGAGGTCCCGTCATCGTTGGTGGAGCGGGTCTTTGTGGTGAAGTCCCAGCTGTGCTCCGTGGTGGGAGTCACGGCGTTGGTCTCAGAGGGAAGTCCTGGAAACAGATGGAAGGTTTTGACTGTAATAATCTGAGGTCTTGTCCGAAAGCAGTCTCCAAATAAGGGGAAAAAACAAAAGAAACACAAAAACTCACTGTTGCCCCTGAACGCCTCAGACTGGGCCTTAACATTATGCAGGTAGGCATCAAACTCCTCCCCAGAGGTCTGTCTGAAATAGATCACGAAGACAATAAAACCTTTAAAGGTTTTCTCTACATAAAGGAGGACCCGCATGGCTTAACCCATAAAACACCAGCAGGACCTCGTGACTGGCCAGTCTGGCTCTTTCTGCTCAGCTACACTCCGACTCAACCGGATCCACTCACCTTTTCTGCTGCGCCTCAGAGCCGGAGCCATCGGCTCTGCCTCGAGACCTCTGGGCAGGCAGCTGCTACAAAACAAACACAATAAAATGATCTTAAAAATAACAAGTTCAGCTACATTCATGTTACAATCAGGACAACATGTGAGCAGATTGGTCTAAAACATGACAGAGAAAGCAAAGCAGCCGCGGGATGTGGAGTGAAGAGCAGAAGAAACGTCAGTTATGATGTTCAGTCTCACCGCAGGACCTTCAGGCTTCTTCCAGTCCTTTAAACTGAGACTTCCTACAAGGATCCAAGTTTCCTGCTTCATTCATCCGTGTGTGTGTGCAGGCCCGCCCCCGACACATGAGGGCCCTACGCAACTTATTTTGAGGCTCCCCATAATAAACCATCTATAATTATTGGGGGGGGGGGGGGGGTCCTGGTGACCTGGTTCCGTTGTGCTGCATTTGCAGTATCGGATGACTCTTTCCCTTCTCCTCCTTGGGCTGGCTGTCAGTGCTCAGCATGCGGAGCGTCTCATGAAAGAGAAAGCGTCTTCTTGCACAAGATGGGGTGGCGCGGCTCGGTTCCGTGACAAAAAGTGCCTAACGGGAGGAAGAGGGGGTGCGCTTCGGCTACACGCGATGCGTCGGACTCCTAATTTTTTTCCTCTCCTTTACGGGTTGGTTGTCTCTGTTGGTGCTTAGCACACAGCGCCTGATGGATGAGAGGGCATGCTCTTGATCAAGATGGGGCCCCCCATGGACCGTGAGGCCCCACTTACTGTGCATGATCTGCACGTAGGGAGGGATGGCGCTGTTTGTGTGTGTGTGTGTGTGTGTGTGTGCATTTATCTGCTCTGCCGTCTCAAAACCAGTGAATAGTGACAGATGCCCGCTCTCACTAATCCAGGTTCTGTTGGAGATGTCCTCCTGTTAAAGGGGAGTTTTCCTCTCCACTGTCACTACATGCTTGCTTAAGGTGGTGATTGCTGTAAAGTTCCTGACATCAGGGACTCCATGCAATGTGCTGGGTTCCTTAAGCTTGGTTTATGCTTGACGCGTTCACTTTCCGCGCGGTGATGCGGCTCGCGGATGGAACGCGCTTCACAACTCGCAGCGTTTATGGTTCATGCGGCCCGTCTCTGCAGTGAGCCGATATTCTCCCTAACTGTAGGGGGCAGCATGGAGCTCTACGGCATGCATCCAACACTACACCATAGTAGAAGTAAAAATTACTGTTTACAACATGGCATTCCAGCATTTTTAACAGCGTCCTCGTCTTTTCCGACAGTGCGAGCTATTTCTCTCCAAGAATTATTAACAACATGTTGATCACGGTGATCTCTGAGAGCTGAAGCATACAAATGTCTGTATTTACCAACCTCTGCCAAACTGGTTCTTGCCGGTCCGCCATGTTTTTCCGCGTCCGACCGTCCGCGTGGTTAGAAATTTTCCGAGGTGCGCGTTGCGGAAATTTTGGGCCGTGCGGAGACGCGGTGGAGGTGCGTGGCTGTTAAAATGACGCAATTTAGCCGCGCGGAGCCGTGCGGACCTCGCGGACGCGTCAAGCATAAACCAACCTTTATACAGGAAACTTAACTGGCATAATGAACTGACACGTAGGTTCAATTGGAACGTTTACTTTGTGAAGTGCCTTGCGACAATTGTTGGTGTGATTTGGTGCTGCATAAATAAACTGAACCTCTACGGCTACAGTAAGTCAAATGTTTCATATATTCGTCTCGGATACGTAAGGAACTCCAAGGACAGAAAATTCTAGCTCCAGTTTTGAACCTTTTGAACTTTCCAACTTTTCTGCATTATTTACTTTTATTTACAGTTAAGCAGGTTTGAATACAGGAGCTTTGAGGACATGCTGAAGGTTTAATTTGAATGATGTTAAGGTGTTTTCAACAATATTGATGTAGACCGTGGGTCCTCGACTAAATTTGTTCAAGGGCCAGAGATTTTTCCAGCAGACACAGTGGGGGCCAGATGCACTAGTAAAACAAAGTTAAATAGTTGTTCAATCATCAGTTTTTAATAATTTAATAAATCAATTTTTCCGTCCAAATTCATGTTTTTTTTACAGCATTTAGTTAGTCGGCTTTGCCCATCAACCTGGTAAATATTGTACTTGTGCATGTGTCGTTTACTTTCTGTGAGCAGTTTTTGTTACAACACAACAATTCTGCACCAACATAGTGGACGGCACAAAAACGGATGTTCTAAGAACTCATTTTAAATTGTAGTCATCTTTTGTACGTTCTTGCTGTGTTTGTCTTCTAATTCCATTTTTGGTTCTTTTTCAAACACAGGAAAGGTTTTTCTTTACCTTGCTGACGTACGTTTCATTTGCGACGCAAACATCTTCAGAGCTGACACCGATGGTGGCGTCACTTCCTTCTCCGTTTATCGGGGGGCAGCAGAGGACGTTGTCGCCCTCTGCTGCCCGCTCTCCCCTCTCCGACGATGCAGTCCCATGTGGAGACCCCATCGTCTCTGTTCATGGTCCCACGTCCACGTCTCCTTATCTCGATTGCGTCTTTTATCCATCTTTTGTATTTCTGTTGTTCGGTGTTTATGATCCTTGTGTTGTCCCAGTCCATTATATGGTTTTCTCTTGTGCAGTGATCTGTTACGGCTGACTTCTTTATTGTGCTTTCTGCTTCTTCTTTTGCTGCTCTTGTGTGTTTTTGACTTGTTTCTTTCTCGCACTCCTTTCTATGTTCTATTGTTCGTGTGTTGAGTTGGCGTCCGGGTTCTCCTACGTATGTTTTATTGCAGAGTTTGTATGGGATTTCGTAAATGACTCCACATTTAAGTCCAGCTGATATTTTGTCTTTTGGGTGTACTAATCTGTTTCTAACTGTTGTGTATGGCTTTGTTGGTGTGTTTATGTTGTGTTTTTTCATTGTTGCTCTTATTTTTTCTGTGATGCCTCTGATGTATGGTAAGGTTATCACTGGTTTTGGTTCTCGTCTTTCTGGGTTTCTGGTTCTTTGCTTAGGTTGTTCTTTTCTTTCTGTTGTTGTTTGTTGTTTTCCTTTGTTTATCGCCCATGACGGGTATCTACAGGTCTTTAAAGCGTGTTGTATGTGTTTGTCCTCTTGTTTACGGTCTCTTTCTCCTGTTATTATGTTTGCTCGGTGATATAATGTTCTGATTACTGACATTTTGTGTATGGTGGAGTGTTCTGATGTCCATAATAGATATTGGTCTGGGTGTGTTGGTTTCCTGTATGTGTTTATGTTTAGGGTCCCGTCGGTCTGAAAACCATATAATGGACTGGGACAACACAAGGATCATAAACACCGAACAACAGAAATACAAAAGATGGATAAAAGAAGCTGTCGAGATAAGGAGACGTGGATGTGGGACCATGAACAGAGACGATGGGGTCTCCACATTGGACCGTGCATGGGACTGCATTTAAGTGATTTCTTGACTGAAACAGGTGTGGCAGTAATCCGGCTTGGGGGTGGCTACAGAAATTGAACTCAGGTGTGAAACACCACAGTTGGGTTATTTTTTAACAGGGGGGGGGCAATTACTTTTTCACACAGGGCAATGTAGGTTTGGATTTTGTTCTCTCCCTGAATAATAAAAACCATCATTTGAAAACTGCATTTTGTGTTTACTTGTGTTATCGTTGACTAACGGTTAAATGTGTTTATGATCAGAAACATTTGTGTGACAAACATGCAAAAGAATAAGAAATCAGGAAGGGGCAAACAGTTTTTCACACCGCTGTGTTTGACCGTATTACTTTCAAAGCTACTGTTAGGTAACTACAGATGTGTTATATTTTACAAGGTAAGAAAAATAAATGTTGTCTTTTGGTCAAAAGATTGTTTCTGTTTACAGTTTTAGAATCACTTTAGTTTACCTTGTAAATCTGCATTTTTGGAGCACGACCAGTTTAAAGTCTAATAAAAATGTCCCATAAATTTAACTAACTTGTACAACAAAGTAGTTCATCCTGGAGCCGACACTCTTTCTTAATACTGATTGTGAATCGATTTAAATTGAGAATCGATTCGGAATCGAATCGGCACCCCGAGAATTGGAATGGAATCAAATCGTGAGTTGCTCTAAGACTCACATCCCTACTTTCCATGCTTCAGGTCTCAAGATGGCGCCCAGCACGACGGGGTGCTTTGCTATTGTTGCTAATCCTGATATCGTGGCACTAATCTTCTAGCTGGTGTTGCATTCAGCTGCTGCTTACTTCAGCAGCATGCACCCATGAACTGCAGAGAAGTGATGATGAAAGCAGACGCGTCTCCTCCACTCACAACGGGACTCTGGATCAGTCATGTGACCCGCGGTGGCACGGTGGTACACCAATACCTTTTTGTCTGGTATCGGTACCTACCGAACGTTTCTGCTCAAAGAGGTCCAGAGTCGTGGCACCCAGCCTTAGGCGCCAGGTCTGCTGAGATTTTCTGCGTGTCTCCTCTGCTGGAGGTCAGTGCTAGGTTCACCGTTTGGTATCGCTGCAGCAGCGCGGGGGCTGAAGACGTCTGCTGTTCGGAGTATTATGACCCGAGGCTGCGCTCCGTTCTCAATTATCGGTACTCTTCATTTATGCTACGTTATTTAATAAAAATGATTGTGTTTGACAAATGAAATTTTAGAGGACAAAGACAGTACAGAGAATTAACACACAGCACACATTTTAACACCCAGTGGCCAAAATTTAAGACTTTTTAAGGTATTACTTCCAAACTCTTAAATTCAATGCTTTTAGGACTTAAGGCCACGCGGGAACCCGGTTTATTTGTGATTTTTGGCCGAGTTTTGAATTTTTGCTATTTAAAAATGCTTCTAGTCTTTCTAAGTTCACACATTTCTTTGTGTTTTCTCTTAATCTTATTTAAAGTTCTTTTTTCTGACTGTTGCTATTCAGATCGAACCATTTCTAATGGAAGCGGTAGCCATCTGTGTAGTCTGATTACTCGGTCACCGACTCATACAGCTACTTTGGAACATTGACCAATCTTCTGGCTTTGTAATAAAGTACATAAATACTGTCAGTCGGTAGTAATCCACTGTGCCCAGGCTAAGGAGTGGTTTTAGTTAGTCAACTTAAATCGAATTCCTGACTTGGGTTCACAAGGACAAACTAAAACAGAGAACATATAAGTCACTAAATGTGTCGTACAAACACCAAAGACAGAGCTTGTGATGCTGAGGTTGCCCACCTACAGGAAGAGTAGGTTAGAGGAGAAGCTGCTTTAGTCAAGCGGTAAGGGAAACTGGCAGAAGGGAGCGCTCGGCGCTGCCTCACCTCCTTCAGTTTGCGCTCGCGTGCCAGCCTGGCGGCCTCGCGCTGGGCGGCATTTCTAGCCTCCTCTTCTAGCCTCAACCTCTCCTCTTGAGCCTCTAACTGAGCAGAAATAAACATCAAACAAACACAAAACAGAATTTTACAAAAGAGAAAAAACAAAAAAACCAATGCAGCAAATTAAAAATAAGCCAAAACAAGTCGGGAACATAAAGGAGAGCTGGTAATCTAAAGGAGACCAGATGCTGAAGAAAGGCTCGGCCTTACCTCAGCTTGTAGCTGCTGGTCTACGAGGACCTGGCTGTCTGAGATGGCTGCGTAGCGGTGGTCCTTCAGGTGGTTCAGCTCATCCTCACTGATGGGTCTAATGACAGAAAAGCAAAAGGCCCGTCACTCTGGAGGCTTCTCGTGATTATTCTAGTCGTGGGAGTTCAGGTCTTACCTTGGACAGGGCTGTGGACTCTCAGCCTGGAAAAAACAACATTCCTGCCATCAGCTTTGGAATACTGGAGCCAATCAAGCTCTACTCTGAGTCTCAGCACAGACGTGTACAGGGTAGAGGCCCCGCCACCTGATCACAGTCCTAATGTCCCCAGGGGGATCTGCATTATTCTGCTTTAACACGCAGCCCATAATAATGAAACCGGGCGCCGAGAGACGGAACCATCACAGCAATTACAGGACAACAAGTGCTTTCCACAGTCAGACTCACCTCGTCACTTTCTACCAGATTTTCAAACTGCAAAATAAAAAAAAAACATTAACAAAAAAATATCATTTCAAGGAGAAAATAATAAACGTCCAAATCGTACCTCGATTGTGTAATGCTCCCCTGTGGTGGAGCTTCGGAAGTATTTAGACCTGTGGAGATAAAAAAAAAAAAAAAAAAGATAATGTGAGATACTCAAACACGGACCGATGGCTGCACTAATCAACTCTAAACACAAAAACAGGATCCGGCGCTGACGGTCACGCAGAGATAATCCTAATCCCGCATCACACTGGCTGATTTAACAGGTAACAAGACCAGCCCAACAGGAAGTACGCTCAGTTAACAGCTCTGCTGTGACATCCCATCACGTGGGTCTGTTTGATACTTCAGAGGTTAAAACTCCAGCTGATAAACACATTAAAGACAAAGAGCAGTCATTAGAGTCCATGTTTGTGCACTTTTTGTTGTCTCAATGTGTCCGACAGATGAAAACGTCCAGAGTCTCTGTAGTTTGGACTAACGGGAGACTTTGTCCCAGCAGAGACGACACCGGTGGCTGATAGAGGCAGGTCAAGCAGCTCTAGGAGTACAGAATTAGCTCTGATCATTTTATTAGAGGTCTGTTTATGTGAGGGAGCAAGGGACAAGAATAAACCCTAACCACAACTAGTGGAAGGTTGACTTTACTCCTATTTGAATACTCCTGCAGTGGTCTCTCTAGGAGGAAAGCTCTGGTGCGCCCATCTGATGAGAAATCAGCTGGAGAAAGTAGCTCCAGACGGCAGGATTTAGAGCTTACTTCCTGATATTTGGACATCTCTCCTCTGATTGGCTAACAGCAATGTGACTCTACCATTGACTCGTTGATGATTTATCTCCACAAATAACACAATCCTGGAGGAGTTCTGCTATGTGGTGGAGTTGCTAATGCTAACTGTTAGCTTCTACTAGCCGAGATGTTTTCTTCTGTTTCCTGGACGCTAAACCAACAACAGCCTTCCCCGTCGTGAGTGAAGATGGGTGAGTCTGTGAATGTTAAGGGACCATGTGACATAGATCTGTCAGGACTTTCTAATACTAGAGTTTCGTCGTCTATTTTCTATCAGAAGTTAATGCAGGAGATAGGTGTAGGAGACTATTTTCATGTCCAGCCTGCATGAAAAACTCAGAGTAAATGGTAAAATGGTAAATGGCCTGTATTTGATATAGCGCCTTCTAGAGTCCTGGAACCCCCCAAGGCGCTTTACAACACAATCAGTCATTCACCCATTCACACACACATTCACACACTGGTGGTGATGAGCTACGATGTAGCCACAGCTGCCCTGGGGCGCACTGACAGAGGCGAGGCTGCCGAGCACTGGCGCCACCGGTCCCTCCGACCACCACCAGCAGACAACGTGGGTTAAGTGTCTTGCCCAAGGACACAACGACAGCGACAGACTGAGCGGGGCTCGAACCTGCAACCTTCCGCTTAAGGGGCGAGCACTTAACTCCTGTGCCACCGTTGCCCCATACCACTTTGATGGTGGTGTCAATTTGATGGGGGTACTTCTAACCGAGACAAAAAAACAGTTTGCTACACATCAACCAATATATATATTTTTTTCATTTTGTTCCCAGAGTGACCATTTTCAAGAACAATAAGTAAAAACTGGTTTCTCAGTGAACCTGATCTTTAAACCAAAACAACACAAATTGTTTGTTTTCTCTGTGAAAACACCGAATGATATTTTTCTTTATCCTTAATTTAATTTACTACCAGGGATCATAGTCACAGGCTTATCAATGGAGCACAGATGCACTCATCTCCTACCTGCCTAGTGTTACGAGTTTGTTCAACTTGACAACTTCATGAGGAATAATCAAAAATACTGATCAATTCATAAACAGTAAGTCACTGCAGCCTTTTAACGGTGTATTTAATAACAACCAGACAGGGTTATTTACTGAAACACTGGATAACACGAGTGATATTTCAGCTCCATGGAAAGAAGTGTTGTAAACATCAACAATCATGTGTGGTGACAGAAGAGAACAAGGTGGGTGTGGAAAACATGAGTTTATCATGGCAGACCTGCCTTTGCAGCTTTAGTTTAAACCTACAGCTCTCTTACTGGGTGGTGTCACTTTGATGGGGGTACTTTTAACCGAAACAAAAAAACTGTTTGCTACACAACAACCAATATGTTTGCTACTTTGCTCATTTTGTCCCCAATTAAAGATAAAACTTTAATAAAGCTGCGATTGCTGCAAGCAACATCTACTAAGACAGTCATCACATTACCTGTGTGTGCAATAGCAATAATGCAAAGAACTGCACTGAATCATGGATGAAGCACACAGACAACTCTTAAGATTAAACCTTGATAACTATCATATATACAGTATCTAATATCTGCAGTGTTTATGGTATGTTTCCATTTGCCAGTGGAGCTATAATAGTACAGGTGAGACTATTGTAAAATGAAGAAAGCTGGAAAAAAGAAAACAAATCCCTCTCTTATCTGGACAAAGCAGAGGGTGAATCCATCAATTATTTACAAGAGGTTTGATAACAAAATAACCAGAAATAACCAGAAAACGAACTCTTGATAACCATATGTAAGACGGGTCCACCAACAAGCCAATAATTACTGTCAAATGAACTCTTTAAAGTTCTACGCCGGCCTGTTTTAATTGAATTACACCTAGCTGTCAACAGTAGCAGGGGTGGGGTCTGGACTGCCGGGTCAACCGTACTCAGACTCCGTGTTGGAGCATCAATACCAGCAGATAAACGTCTCAGAAACCTTCACGGACAAGTGAGTTCTCAGTTACCGGCTAATCCAACGGTTAGCTACGGTTTCAGTAACCGAACCCACCGGATCAGACCTTGTTTCTAATTTCCCTCTGGGATTAATAATAAAGTATCTCTGAATTGAATTTGAGTTAGCTCGCCGAGGCTAACGCTTTAAAACACCTACCCGCTTCCTCTCTGGATCCGGTTGGCTTCGCCCCTAAACAGCCGCACACAGTACGCCCAGCAGTTACCCATCACATTGTCAGGTTTTACTTCTGTCTAACCGCTGAGCTGGAAGTCTACTGGCAACTGCTGGAGCATCACAGCAGGCGACATCGCTGCTCCAAGCGCTTCCGCATTCTTCTTCTCTGGTGACTGTCAGAAAACGACTGAGGGAAACAGCACCACCTGCTGGCCGTTTGTACAAATAAAATACATGGAAAACATCTCCACCCTGGACAGCGGTCGTCTCAGCTTTTATAGAAGGAAAAAAAATTATATATATATATATATATATATATATATATATATATATATATATATATATATATATATATATGGGGGTTTGATGTTTTACTGCCAGCTATCTGGCCAATTTCTAAGCTCCCTTTTCTGAGCAAGGTGCATGAAAAATGTGTCTATAGTCCACTAATGAACTTTTTAACCGAATTCCATGTTTTAGAAACCTTTCAGTCAATCTTTAAAACATTGCACAGTACTGAGACCACACTGATAAAGGTACTTACAACATTGTTTTAGCAATTGATGGGGGCAGTCCAGCACTGCTGGTCCTGTTGGATCTTATGGCAGCTTTTGATGCCGTGGACCATGAAATGCTTCTCCATTGTCTAGAGCATTATGCAGGGTTTTCTGTTCTGGCCTTGAGCGGGTTTAGATCATATCTCTAGGACAGGTCGGTTTGTGTGAGGATGGGTGGATGTTCCTCTGCCTTCTTACATCTGCCCTGGGGAGTCCTGCAGGGTTTCATTCTGGGACCCCTACTTTTTTCTATTTATATATGTAATGTCCAGAAATGGTCAGTTTTCACCTACATATTGACCGACACAATGTCCGGTCACCTACAGACCTAATCCCGCTCTCTGAGTGGAGTTTCTATCCTGTCTTCTAAAGCCCAGAAGATTCTGCAGCCCTTGTTGACATTTCAGGGGGAACAAGATGTCAGCCTACGTTCCCAAACAAAGCCTTCTTTTGATAAGACCGCAGGATTGCACACTCTCATGAAAAAATTACTTTTACAACTCATAAGTTAAATAATCATTGAATAATAATATGGTTGAATGAACAATTGTTACATGAATAGTAATATTGATGTTTGAATAATCTGTGCTTAATTCAATGAAGTTGAAATGAATTTTAATATTGCAATGAAACATTTTGATGTTATGATCAGTAATGTTTGGTTTGACAAGGATGAAATGAAATATATGACCCATATATTTAATCAGCACACTGACTGGACCAGACACATGCACTATATCTCAGTCATGCAAGTTATAATCAACGTCACTGCACATAGATATTTTCTTATCCACAAATCAGCATCTTCACATGTGAGGGAGGTGCGTATCTGAGTTTGTTGGCAAAACCCCTTTACAGGGCAAGTTCTGATTGATCAATAAACCAAGATATGACCATGATTTAAAACAGCATCACTTCCTGAGTGATTTTGTTGAGCCAACTCTGACTGGCCATCGGAGGGAAACTCTGCTCCCATCGCATCTTTGACAAGCTGTCAAAAACCTTTTTCTTGCTACAGCTGACCGCAACCGGTCCCGTCAGAACAAAACTGAACCAACTTCAACTCCTATAGTTATTCCTTAGACACAAACAACTGTGATGACCTGGAGACATCTTGAGACCGGCCTGGTTGTAGTGCGGTTTCTCCTGCGGACTTCGGTACCTTTGGGGTCCATCCAAAAATCATTTTTTGCAGTGTAGGCACTGTAATGTAGCAAGTCCATTACACAGGTTTTTCTATGATTGAAGGATAAATGAAACCAGACTCAATGATTGTTTTAATGTTTATTTGAAAGGGGGAAGCGTTTGGACCTGTAAGAAGAGTTAGTATGAATATAGAAGATTTAAAGTGGTAAATAAATGATTGAATGTTTGTACTTACCTGTTTCCCTTGTGCTTCTGCAAGTGTTCCAGCTAAAAGAGCCCCCGGGGAGCTGGAGCACCTAAAGAAGGTTCTGGAGCATTCCATTCAGTAGGAATGGGAGGGGTGACCTGTGAAATTGCTCCAGGAATGCAGATTAGTTTCACTGAATGTTTTTAGGATTGATCAAGGATGTTTCTATTTTTGTATTGTAATTATTTAATGAGATCTTAGAGATGATGATTTAAGTATAATTTAAGAGTATTGAAAGATTGTATTTTTGTATTTACCTGTGTCTGAGTTTTAGGATTAATCCAATTAGGCACACCTGTTATAAATACAGCTCTGTGTTTGTTGGAGAGAGTTGAGTGTTGGATGGAGCGGCAGGCATGGATTTGTGCTGCCTAGATTTTAATTTTGTTAAATGTAAATAAAGTACACTTGGGTCTGCACTGGACAACGGCCTCCTCAGTATTACTTTTCCTCCGGAGCGCATGAGGGTCATTCTGACAAGTGCCTCGGCGCCACAGGCACCCTGCGACCCAGTAAGAGTAAGCGGGCATCGATGGCAGATGGATGGAGTTATTTATGTACGTTTTCCAGAAACAAAAACAGCTTTTGCAACACGGCAACTTTTATTTTGAAACATGAAAACAATTATTTCCTTTGTTTTTTCATGACGTGTCTTCAGAGCCAAAGAGATATTCCTGGATGTCCTCCTCAGCAGCTATGTTGTCCTCAGTGGTTACTTTGACTTTCTGAGCTACAGGGAAACATCTGGGCATGAGCTTTCTCCCACTCTGAAAGAAAATATTCAAAGTTTAATGTTGGAAACCTGCTCTTGTCTATAAAATATTGTAAACAGAAATAAAATAGACATATCTCGGCAAATTTGCTCCAGTATCAACCTAAACACATGTGGCCCACTGAAGGTCACAGAAGAAGGATTTAATTCTAAACAGAGTCACGATGTTGCTGATGAAACTTCACTGGAGGTCAAACACATTTCAGATAAGAGCTTACGTACTATTTTCTTTGAGTCAGCCAGGGATCTCTCCAGGTACTTCTTCATTCTTTCTTGTTGTTTCTCTTTCTGCTCTCTCAGCTTTTCTTCACGTTGTCTGCAGCACCATTTTGGAAGAAAAACACAATCATTTGTTGTTATGCTTAAATAAAAACGTTGGGCTAACCCCAACCCAGGATGCGATACCTGCTCCTCTTCTCACTGTCCTTGACCTTCTTGATCATGTCCAGTCTGTCTTGAGGGACGTCCTCCAGACTCTGCAGCAGGGACAACACGCGGTTCTCGATGCCGACCACCCTCTCCAGGGTGCTGAGGTTGGTCACCCTGTCGTCGACACAGCTGCGATGCACTTCTGCCACTTTCTCACTGAGAGCTTCCAGCATTGCATCCTGTAAGACCAAATCAGACCAAGAGATTCAATAATAACACTCATTATTTCACTATTTTAATGTAACTGCTGTCATATATAACATCCTGCTTTTAAATCAGGAACGTATTTATCGATTCAGAGCATTAATTATTGTTTTCTTCTTCTGCTCTCTCTTAACCCTTAAGGACCCGCGGTGACAATGGTGTCACAACCCATTTCAAACATCTGCAAAATAGCTTCTTGAGTCAAATATTCAAGTTTGAAAACCCCAAGTGACATTCTATCCACACCTATATTGAAAATTATTCTACTTCTTTATTTAATTGAAATTTTTTTTACATTTTGATGCATTTATTCCGATCTGTTTTCCAATTCAGAAGGAGTTGGGTTCTAAAGGATTAAATCATGCTCAAAAAGTCCTTGTTTTGTGTCAAGAATAAAAATCTGCCAATGGGGTAAGCAAAACTTGCTCGGCTATAGAAATCTTAAAACTAGCTAAATAATCAAATTTTAAGTTTATTTGCTAGTTTTAAGATTTGTAGAGAAGCAAATTTGCCTTCCCCCTCTGCAGATTAGTTTTTTTACTGAAAACTCTAAAAATGAGATTTTTTGTTTTTACTTTCTTAGAAATCAGTTATTGCTGTGAAAGAGACACTCTTGTTAAAAGGATTTTCATCCCTAACGTCTACCATTTCCTAATGGAATGTCTTATATTATGCCATATTATTTAAAGAGCAAGTCACCCCCTACCAGATTCTTACTCCACTCCCACTTCCTGTTTGAAAAATGCAACAAATGCCGTTGCCTGGCAGACCGAGAGGGCGGAGCCGCTAGCAAATACACACACACACACACACACACACACACGCGCGCACGCACGCACACGCGCACACACACACACACACACACACAGGCTCACAACAACATTGTGACATCATATGGTACCAGCTAACATTCTAGGGTACCTCTTAGCCAATGGCGATGGCAGATTTAAATTCAAATGCAGTGCAGAGTTTTTACCTGACAACGGCACAACACTGACAGTTTTAGGCAGGAAATGAAAAGTCAACTAAAAAGCACTAAAGTGCTAAACTATTGACGACACGTGTCTGCAGCACGATTAGATATAGTTTATCAGAAAACAAAGCTGATTTGGGGGTGACTTGCTCTTTAAGGAATCTGCGATCTGGTTGAAGCCTTCAGCCAAAACGACTAAAACTGCAGCGAGACATTCAAAAACAACCAGTAACCCTGTCCACAGAGAGCAGCCGTGCAGGATACCCTGGTCTGGTCTCGGGTCCGTCACAGAAACAGATTGTTTTTAATAAAAAAGAAAGAAAAAATAATAAAGGAACAATGCAACGCATCGTCACACTATCCCAGAGTTACCACAAGGAGCAATTTGGTTTGACGTTGGAAACATTTTTATTTGGCCTCATCTGGCCACCCCTGTCAAAGTTTTCTGGGGGCGCCCCTGTTTATAAACTGGGACCAGCTGTTTGGTGAGAAATTTAGTCAAGTTTAAATGTGTTTTATTCACTTTTTAAAGTCCATTCAATGTTGCCTTCGTTTTTGACTAGCATCAAAGCAGGACTTTTACTTTGTGGTCACCATAAAGGGTTTCCTACAGTAGCTAAACACAGATTGTAACATAACGACGCAAAGCACTTTGGTATGCAGGGTCACACAAGCGAGCCCAGATTTATTATCGTTTACTGTGGGTCTGAGTTGCTTCAGTCCGGCTAAAGTTGTCTTTTCGTCTTCTAAAGATTTTAAAAAAGCAAGAAACCAAGCTCTGCTGCTGGGGGAGGTGCTAATCGGACTCCAGATACCCAGATCGGATGTCGGAGAGGACTTTTTATCCCTTTTCCAAAGCCAGGTAACGTCGACGACCACATCAGACAGCTGGAAAGGGAGATGGGCTAAACTGAAGACAGAAAAAGCAAAGCGGTGGTAGTTTTGATGTGTAAGAGCAGGTTTTAACTGTGTGGAGCAGATCAAGAAAAACATGTATCCATCTTATTTTGGAGAAGCCTCACGGAGATACGCTGATACAGTCAACTCAACTGGTCAGCTGGTGAGATACTGGAAGTGGCGCACGCCCATCGGTTTGTATTGTGAGGTTTTGTAGCTAGTAGCAGTTTTTTTGAACATTTGAAGAGGATAAAAAATATTTACCATAGAAAAATGTACTCAGGCAGCTCAGGAAGGATGCTGTGCTGATCGCGTTTGTACTAACAACCAGAGAAAACGACATTTGTAGCTACAAGAGCGATATTTAGAACATGCTCCTCCAGAGTGACACAGCGTGAGGCTACGAGGATCGGCACGTTTTCACCTCCTCCCCAGAAATGAGGAACCCAGAAGGATGTGACTGAAAACTCTTAACTTGAAAACCACCACAAACTTTATTTGTGCATTATCTTCATTTTATTGTGAAAACCCGGAGAGGAACACCTGCATCCTACTCCGTTGTTGGATTTGACAAACCTCCGGAGAAGCAACCCCGAGTAGCAAAGAGATCTGACAGCAGTCTCACAACGCCGGACACCATGCACACCCTATTCACTCTGGTCCCGGTACTGCTGCACACTGGGTACAACCATCACCGGTTCCCAGAGTTCGACCCTTTCTGCTGGGGTGCTGATGAGCAGGCTCCCCCGCCCAACGCTGAGCACAGCAACCCACCACCCCAGACCCCAACCAGACGACCGGATCTCCCTCCTAGCCTCCAGCCCCAGGAGGCCAAGCGACAACAGAGGTGTGCTACGACCCCTAGTCTCCCTCCGCCTGCTCCAATATGGTGTTAGTGCGTGTTGAAGACAGCTACTTTAAAACATTCTTACTTCATCTTTTGAGCTCAGTGATTGGACGAGCTGAACCTGCTGCTTCAGCTCTGAGCTCTTCTCTTTCTCCTTGTCGAGTCTTTTCTTCGCCTCATTGATCTTCAGTGTGATCTGCTCCTCCTCTCTGTCACTTCACACAGTGTGTGATGAAGAGGAGTGTAGTTAAAACAATATTCAAACAGTATCGGTGTAAGTAGAGCTAGACCAGACCAATGACCAGGGCCTTACATCTCCCTCCTGGTCGTCTCGATGGACTGCTGCAGCTGCTTCAGCACATCCTCCACCCGCGCCGTGTTCTGAATGAGAAACAAGCTTTGATCCGTCAGCTCTGTGATCAGATCCAGCAGCTGCTGTGGATCAGTGAAGTAAAGTTCTGCTTCATCCTATAAAGAGGTGGATAAAATAATTCAACAGCACGGCCGATGAATACTCAGAGTGAGTTAAAACAGGAGGTTTGAGTCTGAGAAAACTGACCTCTGAGGTGTCAAAATCCAGTGTGGGATTCTTCTCTCTGGAAAACACGATGAAATCAAGTCAGACTCTCATGATTCTGCAGGAGTTTGTTATACAACTATGGATCAGGTTCTGTGAAAACAAAATGAGTCTGAATACAACAGCAAAGAAAAACGCATCATAACCTTTTTGGTGTTCAAATCACAACAAGTCAGTTAAGTTTCTACATATTTAAAGATAAAGTTCATGAACAGCGATGACTTGATTTTCCAAACCAAAGGTTTTTTTTTCCCTAAATTTATTATTGTCACTTTATATAATAATGCCCAGCAGGGGGCAGTGAATCCCATCAGCACCCCCACATATTTTGCGTGTCTCTCCACTGGATTCATACTAGGGCTGGGCAATAAATGGAAAATTTATCGTTGTCGAAATTTCTGACTTATTGAGATAACTTTTCCCATGTCAATACATTTGATGATAAAAAACAAAAAGATGTGTGTAGGTTGGCAACTTTCATGTCTCTTTAAAGCTGTACCACCTTGAGCCACGTAAAAACGTGACTCACCGTAATACACGTGACAGCCCCATCTAGTGACATCGTCCATTTATGGTTATCGAGGTGAAATCCTCCATATATGGTGATACTGATATTAGGCCACATCGCCCAGCCCTAATTCATGCTAATGATAACTTTTACCATGGAAAGTACGCTTCTGATCACCAGCGATCTATCAGGCTGATGATGTCATACCTATAAACGTCTGTGGGAGCTTTACACAGAGAAGAGCAGCATTATACCATGAGTTGATGGACAGTGAACTCTGCATTAAAACCATGTCTGTTTGTGTCTGTGCTCAGTTCGGATTAGAGTTAGGGTTAACCCAACCTGGTCTCTCTGCCGGAGGGGGAATGTCTCTCTGAGCTGGACGCCTTTCCTTCCAAACCTGTGCAAGCAGCAACAAAACAAACAATCAGAATGAAACCTTTCTAACTCTCAGCTCCGGTGTCGGTACCAGATCTGCTCGGGGTCCTGCGCCTACGGATGACGTCTGTCACGATCTGCCCCTGCCCGCCTGACTGTGTTCCTCTCCTGCCATGATTACCCTTATTGTTCTCACCTGTCCCTTGTTTACCTGCCCATGTTTCCCTAATTAGCCCTCTGTATTTATACCACCTGTTTTGTCCCTGTCCTTTGTCAGTTCATTGTTGTTGTTTGTTGGTGTTCCTGTTCATCCCATCCTGCCATTAAACCATTTTTACTTTTACTGAAGCCTGCATTTTTACCTCCTGCTCAGCTCATCCACACATGGTCCGCCGTCTCCACTTCCTACACCGTGACAGAATGAACTGACCAAACCGGGACCTGTGGTGAGCTAACACCTGCTCTCTGGAGGATTTATTTTTTTACTTTTTCTCCTTTAGCAGAAGGAGATTCTGGCCCAGGGTGTTGGCGCATCCTACCTGTTCTCCGGGGTGGTCAAGCCTCTGGGTGGGTTTCGGCGCATCCAGTTCGTTTCCTGTGGTGGTCGAGCCCTTCTCCTCTCCTGCTTTCTGCCCCCGTCCCGTTTTGTCATGGAAGCCGCGGATCCTGGAGCTTTGAGGGAGTTATACCCCCTATGCACGCCATCGTTCTCCGGGGTGGTAGGGCTGGTCTCCCCGCTCTTCTCCTGCTTCTCTGCACCCAAGCCTCTTCCTGAGATCCAGCTAATCATGCCGTGCACCTGCTCTGACCGGCTGTCGAGTGCCTGCCGCCGATCCTGGTCTTCTGGCGTCGCTTCTGCAGATTGTCCACTTCCTGGTCCACGCTGTGGGGCCTATGCCTGCAGGTCTCATGCTGCTGCAGCCTCTGCTAGGTCCCACGCCTGCTCCTGCAGTGCTCTGCCTGGGTCCCACGCCTGCTCCTGCAGTTCTCTGCCTGGGTTCCACGCCTCTTCATGTCCAGTCAAGTCTTCACGTTCCAGTCAAGTCTTCACGTTCCAGTCAAGTCTTCACGTTCCAGTCAAGTCTTCACGTTCCAGTCAAGTCTTCACGTTCCAGTCAAGTCTTCACGTTCCAGTCAAGTCAAGTCCCGTTCCAGTCAAGTCAAGTCCCGTTCCAGTCAAGTCAAGTCCCGTTCCAGTCCCGTTCCAGTCAAGTCAAGTCCCGTTCCAGTCAAGTCAAGTCCCGTTCCAGTCAAGTCAAGTCCCGTTCCAGTCCCGTTCCAGTCAAGTCAAGTCCCGTTCCAGTCCCGTTCCAGTCAAGTCAAGTCCCGTTCCAGTCAAGTCAAGTCCCGTTCCAGTCTAGTCAAGTCAAGTCCCGTTCCAGTCTAGTCAAGTCAAGTCCCGTTCCAGTCTAGTCAAGTCAAGTCCCGTTCCAGTCTAGTCAAGTCAAGTCCCGTTCCAGTCTAGTCAAGTCAAGTCCCGTTCCAGTCTAGTCAAGTCAAGTCCCGTTCCAGTCTAGTCAAGTCAAGTCCCGTTCCAGTCAAGTCAAGTCAAGTCCCGTTCCAGTCTAGTCAAGTCAAGTCCCGTTCCAGTCTAGTCAAGTCAAGTCCCGTTCCAGTCTAGTCAAGTCAAGTCCCGTTCCAGTCTAGTCAAGTCAAGTCCCGTTCCAGTCTAGTCAAGTCCCGTTCCAGTCTAGTCAAGTCCCGTTCCAGTCTAGTCAAGTCAAGTCCCGTTCCAGTCTAGTCAAGTCAAGTCCCGTTCCAGTCTAGTCAAGTCAAGTCCCGTTCCAGTCTAGTCAAGTCAAGTCCCGTTCCAGTCTAGTCAAGTCAAGTCCCGTTCCAGTCTAGTCAAGTCAAGTCCCGTTCCAGTCTAGTCAAGTCAAGTCCCGTTCCAGTCTAGTCAAGTCAAGTCCCGTTCCAGTCTAGTCAAGTCCCGTTCCAGTCTAGTCAAGTCAAGTCCCGTTCCAGTCTAGTCAAGTCAAGTCCCGTTCCAGTCTAGTCAAGTCAAGTCCCGTTCCAGTCAGGTCAAGTCAAGTCCCGTTCCAGTCAAGTCCCGTTCCAGTCAAGTCCAGTCTTCGAGTCCCTGTCTCCTCTGTCGTGTGGCCTTATGGGCGTCTGGTGGGGGTGGTGGGGGGTGGGGCGGGGGCGGGGGGGGGGGGGGGTACTATCACGATCTGCCCCTGCCCGCCTGACTGTGTTCCTCTCCTGCCATGATTACCCTTATTGTTCTCACCTGTCCCTCGTTTACCTGCCCATGTTTCCCTAATTAGCCCTCTGTATTTATACCACCTGTTTTGCCCCTGTCCTTTGTCAGTTCATTGTTGTTGTTTGTTGGTGTTCCTGTTCATCCCATCCTGCCATTAAACCATTTTTACTTTTACTGAAGCCTGCATTTTTACTTCCTGCTCAGCTCATCCACACATGGTCCGCCGTCTCCACTTCCTACACCGTGACAACGTCGCATTACGGCGCTCGGCTTTCACACATACGTTTTGGAAAGACATCAGCAGTTTGGTTGATAAATTCTTGTTTGTTACCACCTAAATGTTTGCTTTATAATTGGAAATTGTTAATAAAACATAATTTTATCTTTGTTTTGTAAAGAATGGGAAACTACATAAAACAACATCAGACTGCTAAAAAACAACAGTCCTTATATGTGAAGCCATTTCTGTTTGTATTAATGTGGAATTTGTCCGTATAGTTCCTTAGCTGTTATGTAAAAACATTCATTCATTCATTATGTTGCTTGCTGTCTTTTCAATAAAGTTCTCATATTTTATTTAGCCCCGTTTCATCAAAATCAAGAGCTTTTGAGGGTCAGCGTTTATCAGTTGATATCTTTGCTTTTATTTTGCATTTCATTTGGAAATAAAAACATTTTCTCCATAAAGTGTTGATTTTTAGACTACAGGACTACAACTGCTAAGACTACAACCGTAAATTCGTTCTGACCAATCAAAATCTTCATTGTCAACGTGTAACGTTTACGAACGTGGCATCGTAACTTCCGAAAGGCTAACGTTCAGCCAATCATCTATTGTGACGTCATCAGCAGACGCAGGACCCCGAGCCGATCTGGTACCGACACTGGCCAGGGTGGTGTACTTGTGTGACCAGGTTAACATGTCTTTAAGGAAACACTCACTGTTCCTGGTATCCGCCTCGTGAAGCTCCTGGATCTGGTCTTTAACCTTCCATGCCTTGGCTCTCTGCTCCTCCTGCCACTCTGGAGGAGAAATCTTGAAGAGGAACTCTTGGTATCTCTTATAGTCTATCAGGATTTCTTCAAAATTGGCAATTTCACTTCCAAAACAAACGCACAACAGACATTTGTTAGTAGTGTGTTTCTCAAATCCACTTCAAGGAAAATCCTCTCAGTGGGGACATCAGAATACTACCTCTTTATGGAGCCTATTTCAGCAGCTAGCTTCTTCATCTGGAGGTTCTTCTCCCGTTTGGACTTTTCTTCTCGCTCAGAACTGGAACATCATTTGACCAGAATATGTTCAGTAGCAGCCAAAAAGAGAGCATCACTTTGTTTGCTGAGAAAATGAAACACGATTTCACGCCCGGGGGCTTACAGTGTTCTGGCTTCCACAGACTTCCTCTCATTCTCTTTGAGAAACTCTTCAAACTTCTGGTTTTCACTCTCAATGGTCCTTTCTAGCACTTTCAGCATCCTCTCCTCTTTTGCGAGGGCCTTGTCCATTTTCATGATGTCAGACCTCTTCGTCATCAGAGACAGCTGAGGAACCGAGGAGCAACAGACAAAAGTAGGTTTGCATCTTGGCATGAAGGTGATTTTCTCTCTGTCTCTCCCTAAAAGTCAACATCAAACTGGTAGGATTAATGCCTGTGAGGAGTTTACTGAGTAAATCTGCTAAATTTGTCTTCTTTTGCAAACAAGCTTATGATTGCTCATCTTTAAATTTTAATTTCCTTCAGGAGAAGATAACGACTGATGCAAATTATATTTTCTTTGTAATCATTCACAATAATAATCAAATAAAGTCCTTCATTCATTGTTATTTTGAGTATTTGACACTGATTTGTAATTAAGGTGAGTGATTATGTGCATCTATGTGTTTGTCTGTTAGTAAAATATTTCACAAAGTTTTTGGGCAGATTTCAATGAAAATTTTGTTTTATGAGCGCTGTTCCAGACCACACTCCACACTAGTTGGTGGCGGTAATGCACCATTCGTTGTTTGCCAACCGCCAATGAAACACCAGAAGAAGAAGAAGACTCGACGCCGGATGATTAACTACTGACTGGTAGTCTCTAGCCCTCACTTATCTCTGCTCTTGTTCTCTCGTGTTTTTCTCTCGTGACTTGGATTAATTCTATTTTTGGATTTTACCCCACCTCAGGTCTGGATAATCATCAGAGTTTTCCCCGACACGTTTTGGATTTTTATCTGGTTCGCTTCCTGGTTCACCCTCCTCCAAGTGCCGACCCGATCTCCTCCACCTCTCGCTCCCTCTCCAGAACCACACCGGTCCGGATCCCATTCCTCATTCACCTCTACCGCTCTACAAACATTACCTGGACTTACCCCGGCTCACCCCTCCCACACGCTTCTCGACTATCGTAAGTCCCTCAGCCAGCAATTCCCCTGCCATCCTACAACTCCCATACTCACCTCTGCTACTCTTCCCTCTAGACGCTGCTTCCCGATTATCCAGTGCGCCCTTAGTTCACCTTTTCGTCAATAAATATTATTATTTTTTATACAATCTGACTCTGATTCTGCATGTCCTGGGTTAGACTCTTGCCCCACAACATGGCAGCTTGATCTGAGCTGAGGAGGAGAGTCCTGTTGTTTTGTTCATCTTCATCGCAACAATGACAACATTAGATGACAACAGGTGCTCACATAGGTTTGTGCTGCTGAACATGTCTGAGCAGCTTGACCACGTTGTTGTGTGTCGGGGAGGAAAAATAAAAACAGCAACAGGATGTTCGGGAGGATTTGGATGTTTATTTTCTTTTGGGTTTAATGTTGAAGCACTGGTGATTGGGGCTGATTGTTTTGCAGACGTAATTTTCTGGGGTATTTAAAGGAAGCCAGGTGGAGACTTGGGGTTGGGTTTTTGATCTGTAAAAAGAAAGCAATGAAATAAAAGCCTGGGGAGCATTTTGGCTCCCAAGGAAAAATGTCCCTGTGCTGCAGTTTGCCTCTAATTCTTTCACCTTTCAGACCTTCTGGCTGCTCTACATTCTCACACAGCCACAGAGCCGTGCTGGTTTGAGCGTGTCGCTGCTCGCTGGAGTTAAATCAGCTCTGTCTGGAAGTTAGCTGGAAAACTTTCTCTTTCAGTCGTGAACACATTACTGAGCGGTTTAAATCTCAGTTTCTGGGCTTCAACGTCAGAAAACAGCTGAGTGAACTCGGCGCTGAGTGAGAGGAGTGTAGTTTGTCCGAGACAGCGGAGCTGCAGACACCGGGAGCAGACGCTGGAAAAAACACAAAGGAGGGGGCGCTTCGGCTCCGCGCTAACGCTGCAAAGCATTATGGGAGTTGTAGTCTTTGCGGTAAAATCGGCCAGCGGGTCAGTTTTAATATATTTTTGATAATTATCTCGCGGGCCACATAAAAATGCTCCTTGTGTCTGACACGTGTTCTAGAGTACTGGACCCCCCCCCCCCCCCCACACACACACACACACCTCCACCACCACCCCACCCCAAGGTGCTTCACAACACAGTCATTCACCCATTCACACCCTGGTGGTGATGAACTACATTGTAGCCACAGCTGCCCTAGAGGCACTGACATTCGAAGCTGCCATGCACAGGCGCCCTCAGTCCCTCCAAACATCACAAGCAGGCACGGTGGTTTAAGTGTCTTGCCCAACAACACAACAACATTGACAAACTGCGTGGGGCTCAAACCTGCAGCCTTCCAATTAAGGGATGGACATTTTACTCCTTTGGTACTATCATCCCACCAGGAAAATGGACTGCAGAAGCCACATTTGACCACAAGATGCCATTCTTACATATTGCGCCTTTAAACCAGAAAATCTGACTGGCTTTGTATGTCTTTGTTTTGAATTAATTCACCTCCAAGACTGCTTTTTGTCGTTCCATGACGATTAAGTCATGTTTGCTTTTCTTTGTGATTTTTCCTGCAGACAGAACACAAATAAGAGTTAACATGTGATGATCTGACTGCTGCATACTTATAACCTTTTATAACATGAACTTCTCTACCCGTCCTCCTCCTTTACCTCTTTTCATCATAGGAAATTTCAGCTCATATGTGTCTGGTGTTATAGCAGGGAGAGCTGTTTTACTCTTGATTTGCTTTGAAATCTTCTTGTCATTTCCCTCCTCCCTCTCCTCCCCCTCCACGGGTCCTCCCACCAGCTCCTTCTCCAGCATGGCCATCACTCTTGAAGCGTGGGCTGTCTTTTCTTCTACTGGCAGCTTCAGGAATTTACGCAACTCCTGAGCATAAGAGAGGAAAGACGCAAGACTTTAACTGAGCAAAATCTAATTTTGTTTCTGCAAACATGACATGAATTTTGTCACAGACAAGAAAGTTTCTTTAGTAAACGCAGCAGCGATCAAACCAACACACGCCCACCTTTTCACTGCTGTTTGACACTTTAAACCTCCTTATTTCTACACGTGAATAAAAAGAAGATTTTAAAAGTTATCTTTCTAGATTTCTGTAGAGTATTTGTGTCTGAAACCATGAAGCTGTCTGAAGAACATGTTTACAAGCATGCAGATTAATCGGATATCAATAAGGGTTGTGGCACGTGTGCTTATGTGAGCGAGAGAAGCTTGACATGACAAAAGCATGCTGACAACATCGCTCTCTGCCTCAGAAGCTCCACCAGCTCAGATCACAGGAGCAGGTGACTGAAACACAACAGTCACTCTACAAGTCCTGATATGTTATAAATCGGTCTGATATTTGGCAACAGATCAAAATGACAACTACAAATGTGATTTAAGAAGGTCCAGTTGTGGAACAAAGAAAACGCAGCTGTTTGCTCAGAATATGACTTAATGAAACAAAATCACAGCGGTCCCAACAAATCCCTTCCTACCAGGACGAACGTGGGTTAAATAAAGCATCACAAAGTCATCATCAATGATCATCTGATGCAAATATTTATTAACAGTATTTATGAAGAAACACAACATCTCTTAAATTCTACCTATAAAACATCTATGACTTCTACATCCACTGCAGCTGACATGCTTGAAGTATATTCAGGAGGACCATAAACAATGCAGCTATAACGACTGAAGTGATGCTGTGGACCACTACCCTGCACGTTTTTGCTGCCTCTCTGCTAATTGTAAATAAAAGTTGGAATCCACACAAGATGTCCTTTAGAAAAAGCTAACTACATATTTATATAATTAACTGTTGATTTGTTGGAGATATAACTTCCTGTATCATATATATTACGCATCAATGCCATTACTAATGTTCAACGCAATATTTCCATATTCATGTTAATTTTATCAAACATTCCTCTAAATAATTATTTTCCATAAATTTTCTCAGATGAACTTTGACGATCTGACGGATGCTCTCGTGATGCATTCTGGGCAGCGCATGACGTCAGCTTATTTATTTATTTATTTATTTTTTACTTTTATTCCTCTTAGCTCACATCAAAATGTCAGATGTACGCGTAACGTCGAAACTGTTTACTAATTTAGGCAAAAATGACATTAATATTATTTTAAATTAAACTGTACAAACAGCTAAACGAGCTAAAGCACTAGCTAAACATTAGTGCACCTTACGGTTTAATTGAGAGATAAATGAGCAGGATATAATAAAACAGACAGTATGAAACATGGCTGTGGTATTATGAAGCGAACCCTGCTGCATTATTGCCATTCACAGACTCAAACGGAGCAACTTACCAGCTCTAGAAGTTAGCTAGGTGTTCCGTGTGTACCGTTGTCATGGTAACTGCTTCCTTCAACGTCTCCTCGGATTTTTTCCACTTATCCCCATTGTTCATTCAGTTCGAACTATAACGCGCGCGCACGCACGCACACGCACGCCCGCGCGCACACACACACACCAAAGTAAAACTGGCTTTTCTGATAATAACAAAAAGACTGAGTCATCAGAAAAAGACAGCAGCACTTCTGCCTCCTCTATCGGTAGTGGTGCTTATTCACCACTAGATGGCAGAGACAGATCATTTCACCCAGACAAACTCAAACTCATTTCTTCAGTTTTTTGCCAAGAAATTTCGAGATTAATCGGGATGTCATCAAAGTAGCCGTTTAAGTGAAATCCGTGTCACTTATCTTTTTGTCCCTGAGAGACGCTGATCACCAGCTCTTCTTTTAGTCCACCGCGTGCATAAGTGAGTATACTTAGAACCTGATACTGTACATCGCATCCCACGCATCCACACATGACCCCACACATCTCAGCTCAGCAAAGCAGCCCACACACTACACACGCTTGTAGGAAATCCCACTGTCAGATTGTCAGGTTAAAGTTACACACACACACACACACACACACATACACACACACACACGCACACACACACACATGGGATGGATGCGTTGGCAACAGAAAAGGCCACGTTGTGTAAGAAAAGAGAAAGGGTGTTTTATTTACTCTTGAGGAGCATTATCATAAGAAGGCAGAAACATGAAGCCTAAAGCAAACAAGTGCATTGATTTTCTTGCATCTTCATCCTCCCTTCACAGGTTTACTGGTCTACCTGTATTCTGGAAGACTGTATTTCTTTCTAGATGTTCAGTGACTTATTTACAATGCGATAACACTGCTTCATAACACAGATGACTAAAATAAGACAAATATAATGTATCTGGTTATTTATAGCAACGCATCAGGTGTTTGAGCATTACAGATCGCTGTCACCCCTTCATGCCACCTAAAGATGGAGTTACATAAGACAACCACCATCTATTTATGATCAGCTTTTCTCTAAAGATAAGTGCTTGACTTATAAACAAAAATAAAGGAGAATGAAGACACCGCCAACAACAATAAAAAAAACCCATTAATTCACTAATTAAAGGACTCAAATAATGCTGTTTTGCTACATTTCCCTCTTATTGTGAACTGGAGAACAGAAAACTTGACTTCCTCTCATGGCAGGAACAGGAGAGCAGAGATGAAGCTGCCATGCTGTCAGGCAGCTGTGACCCGACGTAGCTCGTTCCGACCTCAGCAGCATTTCTGAAGGAACACTGTTAACACGATTCATACAGAACTTCAGTTAAATCTCAGAGATTATTGTTTTTCTAAGAATTGCTGAGAAAAAAATTACAGCTTTTTTTGTTAAATCAAAATAAACATTGAGAATCAGTTATTAACAGACTTTCATAACAGAGAGCCTTAGTCTCCTCTCTTTGCGGTCGACTCATGGGTCCCCGGAAGAACAAAAATAAAAGCAAGATATCGGAGCAAAAATAAATTTCTAATCTGCTCTAACGTCATGAATCACACACATTTTCTACTTCAATCTAAATGAAAAGTAATGATGCGTGTTTCGACCACACCTGTCACATGTTTTGAGATTTATCAGCTTGTAAAAGTTCATAATTAGCAGAATATGATGTCACCACAGAATCTCCTCTCTCCTAGTTTAGCTGCTACTTACCAATTCAATTCAAATTCAATTCAAATATACTGTATTAATCCCAGAGGGAAATTAGTTGCTGTACACACAATTCTGAGATCAGACATACATGCATAGACCATAGACTGTACATACTGGACAAACGGATTCCATTGGCTTCAATAACACGTTTGTTGTCTATAATGGGAGGTGGCCACCTCCGCCATTTTGACCGTGTCACAGGTTCCGTCCAGCCCAGACAATTCCATAAAAGGGAAGAGAGGAGGCGCTGAGGGTGTGGCTGTAAGGCTGGGCTTGAGTGACGACACCCAGGCGAACTAGCTACGAGCTAACCTGAAGCTAACCCTGGCTAACCCAAAGCTAAAGCGGAGGTGGGAGCCGAGCTAACGGATGTAGCCACCTAGCTTCAACCCAACCGGAGCTAACTGGAACACCCATCGACCTGAACCTTACACGGAGTTTAGGTGGAGGTTTTCTGCGCCTGTTCGTGAGAAGTACCAGTATTAAAAAAGTGGCATAGACACATGACAGGAATTGGTGACTGTGGTCATTCACAACCCGAGTCACGCTACTGTCCCGTCAACTCTCTCTTTGATCGAATCAACCTTCTGTGCCAGAGTCCGACTCTCAGCCAAAGTTCCAAGCTTACGACTCATCTCGACAATTATATGAGTTTGTGCATTCACAGCGCGGTGTAATCCATCCCTGAGCTCCGGGATTGAGCCAATATTCCTCGACAGCTCATTAATTTTCCGGTAAACCAGGTAACCGCTCAGGCCAAACAGCACGAAACCCGACACCAACACCACGAATATCCGGACGTCTTCAGAATCCTCTACAGACATTTGAGAGAGGTAGAACAGGTTCCACTGTTTCCAGGAGTCCATGATGTGCCCAGCTGGCTCTGTCCCAGAGGGGCATCCGGGAGCCCCTTCTCCCGTTGTCATCGTAGAAAAATTTTGTCAATCGCATTGAGAGACCAGCTGACCAGATCCATTTATAATCATTTCCAGTTTCCAGAAAAATGCAGGAGCGCCGTGCACCCAAAGACAAAGAGCCTTGGCATAAGGTAGGGAGGGGAGGAGGAAAACAGCGTCTGAACTCTCCAAGAGCCAAAAAAAAAAAAAATAAAAATAAATAAATAAATAAATAAATAAATGACATGACCACATGACCAGATTAGTGGTGGTTCTTTCTTCCTGAACAAATATTTGAAGTTTGCTGAACTTACGGCCATTTTTCCGCTGCTTTACTGTTTGGTGATGTGTATTTGCAGTCATGGACATATTTTCACACAAAACTTAAAAAGACCTTCTGGAGATCACGCAACACACCTGAAGATACTTCCCATGGAATTAGGGTTAAAACACAAGGAGTGTTTGATCAGAGATGCATGTATTTGTAGTCCAGCTTTGTTGTTTTAAAAAAATTTTTTCATTGGCATTTCTGGAAGAAATGAGAACTGAGAAATTTATACTTTTTCTTGTTGGTCACGCAGAGCGTGAAAACTTTCTTCTTCCCCCATCGCCGGCATTAGCTTTGAAGAAAAATAGACAATCGGGTCAGAGAAAGTAGTCCCTTCCACATCACATCATAATACACACCCACACTGCAGTCATGGAGTCCATTGTCACCTCCTCAGTCACCGTGTGGTACGCTGGAGCTACCACCAGGGGCAAGAAGAAACTGCAGCGTGTTGTACGATCTGCTGAGAAGGTCACTGGCTGCGAACTGCCCTCCATACAGGACCTGTACACCTCCAGGACATCGAGGCGTGCAGGTCAGTTAACAGCAGAACACAGTCTTTTTGCCTCACTCCCATCTGGCAGGAGGCTCAGATCCATTCGGACCAGAACCTCTTGCCACAAGAACATTTTCTTCCCCTCTGCGGTCGCACTTGTGAACGACTGTCGTAGGGCTGCCCACTCCAGCTGCCTGGTCTCAGTCACCTGACCCTGTGTTGTGTTTTTACCTGAATTGATCCGCCCTGATTAGGACCTACACAGTCTTGTATATAGCAGCTGTTTATTGCCATTTGATATTATTATTTTATCATGGTTATATTTTAACTTCCAATATTTTCTTACCTCTTATTTTTATCTTCTATTTTTGCATGAAGTACCGCAGCAATTTCCTAATGTTGTGATTCTCACACATGTGGCAATGAAACCTTTCTGATTCTGATCTGATTCTGATGTTGGCTCAACCAGAAGGCTGTGTTGATTTAGCGGCCAGGAGAGATCTGAGCACGTCTCAGCTAGTAAAAGCTAACCATCAGCATTAGC